CTGCTCCATCTGGGACTCTCTCTTGTGTTCCCTTGTCAGGGCGGTCATTGGTGGTAGCCGGGCACCATCTAGTTCTTCTGGTCTCAGGCTGATGGAGTCTCTGGTTTGTGTAGCCCTTTTTCTTTGCCCATTTTTTGATTGAGTTGTTTGTCTTTCTGTTGTTAAGTTGTAGGAGTTCTCTCTATATTCTGGATATTAAACCCTTACCCAACATATGGTTTCCAAAATTTTTTCTCAGTCTGTATGTTGTCTCTTCACTTTGTTGATGAAGTCCAATTTACCTGTTTTGTTTTTGGTTGCTAGTGCTTTTCATGTGATATCCAAGGATCCATTGTTAAAAACTAGGTCCTGAAGCCATACCCCTATATTTTCTGTTAGGAGTTCTGTGCTTTTAGTTCTTACATTTAGGTCCTTGGTCCATTTTGAGTTAGTTTTTCTTTTTTTTTAATTGTTGTAGTTTAAATGAAAGTTTGAGTTAATTTTTATGATGGTGTGAGGTATAAGTCCAGCTTTATTTTTCCATGTGGATTTATCCAGTTGTCTCAGAATCATTTAATAAAGAGGCTATTCTTTCTCTGTTGCATGGATTTAGCATCCTTGTCAAAAATCAGTTGACTGCAGATGTATAGGTTTATTTTTAGATTCTTAATTTTATTCCATTGGTCTATGTGTCTATTCTTATACCAATACCAGATTATTTTGATTGATTACCATGGGTTTATAGTATGTTTTGAAATCGGGATGTGTGAGTCCTTCTGCCTTGTTCTTTTTCTTCAAGATTTCTTGGCTATTCAGGGCCTCCTTGCAAGTCCATATAATTTTGAGTACTGGCTTTTCCATTTCTGCAAAGAATGTTGTTGGAAAATTTGATCAAGATTGCATTGAATCTATAGATCACTTTGGTTAGTACTGACATCTTAGCAGTGTTAAGTCTTCCAACCCATGAACTCATAATGTCTTTCCATTTATTTATGTCTTTCCATTTATTTAGGTCTCTAATCCCTTTCAGCAGTGTTTTTTAATTTTCATTGTATAAGTCTTTCACCTCCCTGATTAAATTTATTCCTAGGTATTTTTTTCTTTAATGCTTTGTAAATGGAATTGTTCTCAATTTCCTTTTCAGATTGCTCATTACTGATGTATAGAGATCCAAATGATTTTTGTGTGTTGACCTTGTATCCTACCACTTTGCTGAATTCATTTATTAGCTCTAATAGCTTTCTTGTGGATTATTTGGGGTCTTCTGTATATAGGATCAGGTCAGCTGCATAAAGGGATAGTAACTTCCTTC